AATGCTAGGCCACACGTCGCTCAACAGACGCTGCGAAAACTGCAGGAGTTGCAATGGGAAATTCTGCAGCACCCGCCATATTCTCCAGATATTGCGCCTTCAGATTTTTATCTGTTCCGGTCTTTGCAGAATAGTTTAAATGGCAAGAATCTCAATTCCGAGGAAGCTGTCGAAAACCACCTTACAAACTTTTTTCAAGAAAAACCAAGTTCTTTCTTCAAAAATGGAATCGACAAGCTTATAGATCGTTGGAAAACGATTGTAGAAAAGAATGGAGACTATATAATTGATTAATAAAAGTGTTATCTCTAAAATATAATCTATTGAAGTTTATATTTAAATCGGGCACGAACTTATGCAATCACCTGATATAATAGTATATTTTCGTGTGTATAAAATAAATCTCAAATTTATTATTACATAATAGAAAATCTAATAACATTTTTGTTGTTGTTTTTTTTTCAGCATAACTAAAATATCTTTCTATATCATCGATTTAAACGAAAGCTCAAATTTGTTTTATTACTTATTCATTTGACATACAAAGCACATCTCCTGCGAAACTATATGCGAATTATCGATACGAGTGTTTGCACTCCTCGATGCTGTTTGAATTGTGGTTGTACCGTGGAAGAAGCATACTCCCAGCCATTTATCAGCACCAGCAGCTTGCTCTGGCAACATTTACGACCCTCTTAATCCGCGGTTCCATTAACGCGCGGCATACGCCGTGGCGAAGTGTGGTGCATTAGGTTGAAGTCAACCATAAAACTCCGCGGGGACGTTTAACATCCATTGTTTTAGGTTTTAAGTTACACGTGGCGAGCTCACCTCGCCGGTGCTTGCCGTGGCTAATTAAAGTCGCCGTTAAGAGTCATTACGTAGTCTCGTTGCATTTTCTTTCATAATAACTTTAATAATGCGTCGATAAACTATGAAAAACTATGATTAATTGGTCATTTTTGCAATTTGATTATGGTCGCAATAAATTTAAAAAAGAGAAACAACAGAGAGAAAAGCGTTCATGAAATCGCATTGAACAACCTGTTCGGGTTTGTGTCATCGTTATTCGTTTTCATAATGACGATTAATATTTATATAATGTGGTTAATAAAATTAAATAATATATATCCAATTATAAAAGTTAAATAAAAAATAAATATAGGCTCGTTAGATTTAAATAAACAATAATATAAATCATGGCCTCTACAAGCAGATTTGAGAAGATCAATTTTATTATATAGTTTTAAATTAACAAAGATCATAAGATTAGACAAAATTTGTGGGACGTTTCGATACTGAACTTGTGTCTCTTCAGCCACCGAAAAATTACATTAATGATTTAATAATACGCGAATCGAGTCTAATAATGGGCTTCAAGGAAAAATCAGAGACATTGGATTGCATAAAAAGCGCAAATGTGGTTGTTGATCTCCATTCTTTTTTTGATTAACTTTGTCTCCCATGCAATCCAATGTCTCTGATTTTTCCTTGAAGCCCATTATTAGACTCGATTCGCGTATTATTAAATCATTAATGTAATTTTTCGGTGGCTGAAGAGACATAAGTTCAGTGTCGAAACATCCCACAAATTTAATCTTATGATCTTTGTTAATTTAAAACTATATAATTAAAATTAATCTTCTCAAATTTGCTCGTAGAGGCCATAATTTATATAATTGTTTATTTAAATCTAATAATTAACAAAGATCATAAGATTAAATTTGTGGGACGTTTCGACACTGAACTTGTGTCTCTTCAGCCACCGAAAAATTACATTAATGATTTAATAATACGCGAATCGAGTCTAATCATACTTCCAAAAAGCGAATCAGAGACATTGGATTGCATGGGAGACAAAGTTAATCAAAAAAAGAATGGAGATCAACAACCACATTTGCGCTTTTTGGAAGTATGATTAGACTCGATTCGCGTATTATTAAATCATTAATGTAATTTTTCGGTGGCTGAAGAGACACAAGTTCAGTGTCGAAACGTCCCACAAATTTTGTCTAATCTTATGATCTTTGTTAATTTAAAACTATATAATTAAAATTAATCTTCTCAAATTTGCTCGTAGAGGCCATGATTTATATTATTGTTTATTCATATCCAATTATATTTAATTAAATGTTGCGCAAAAAATCATATATTTAATATTAAATTATAGAGAGAGAATATATTAAATTTTATTTAATATTAAATTATTGAGAATATTTAAATGCCAAAGTTAAAATTATGTAATAAAATGTAAGATAATAAGAAATAATAAAAAATATAATAAAAATTTCAAGTATAATACTGTATAATTTTTTCTTGCTATTGAATAAAGAAAAGAGTAAGCTCAATAGCTTTTCTTAAACATTATTTTTGTTTGCAGTGCGGAAATGCGAGTTCGCGGATGTTGAGCACGGAACGCGATCTCTTTCAATTTTTCGAAATTCAGCCGGAGGAAATAACGATGAGCAAACGAAGATGAAAGAGGAGACTTGGCAGGGAAGGTTTGATGTTTTTCACGGAGATTCTTCTCGTCTTGCAGACACGTAATGATCTTTTCGTCAGGAACAACCGCGGGTCGTTACGAGCGGCGCAACCGTACGGCGCCTCGTTACTTTCGATCGCATCAGGTTAGATAGTTGGTTGTTATTTTACGACGTGTTCTCGCTTGGTATATTTCATCGATGCTCCGTACAAATCCTTCATCAGTGAAGAACGAACGGAGTTCAAGCACGTGGCTGAAAAGGCTTTTCTCTATCCACTGACAAGAAAACGAACGCGATGCATCGCTACCCCGTTTTGTCCCGAGCTTTTTTAACCGTCGCGTGCTGACGATGCTTTAACGATCTGTTTCCTTGCGCGAACGTGTATTTTCGATGTATCTTCGATTTCGAGCGGTCACTCTCTTCCGAGTGCGTTACTGCCACGAGATATCGGGGATTATCATGACATCCAAGCTTTGTAAAATGAGAGAATTGGCTTTCGCAGCATTTTTCAAAATGAGTTGCTACAAGAGGTAGAAGTACATCCCTCAAGATTTATGGGATTGCTTAGTCTAGTGTATTTTGTTGTGTTTGCGAAGAAA